TGCGCCATGACCCGCACTCATGTTCCTTATTTTCTCAGTGTTTGTGTGGCCTGACCTTTCATCTAATGAAGAAAACAACAAATGAACATATCTCTCCTAATTAATGGAATGCCTAACAAATCGTACGGTCTTTGGATGTTTAATTCGTTTTATGTATTCTGAAAGATCATTTGAGACGAGCAAGGAGACTGAAATGAGGATAATGCAGCCAGAGAACAACGATTGTGAAATTGACTGGGATAGCTCCGAACATTACATTTGTAGAATTTACTTTGTGCACTGACACAAACAAAAATCTTGGACAACAGGGAAGCATGCTCAAAGACATTATTTCACTTTAACATAGCTGCCACTTGTACATATCACTTTACACCGGAAAACCCGTTGTGCTGCCAGGACCACTTATAACATCTCTGCCTCATGCGCAGCTCCTCCCCCTCCACCTCACTCTCATCTGCCCGTGAGCCAATGCAAATTACAGTAACAGCTTGGACGTGAGTATAATCTCAAGTGGTGCGAGCTGGACTCCACGGCGAGCCGTGCAGGCAGATGGAAGCAGAGACGCTGCCAGGCCTCTTTAGGGGCTCCCACTCTTTCTCCAGCATGCTAGACAATGGAGAAGATGTGGCTCGTAACCAGCGGACTCGTCTGCCACTATCATGCAGCCGTCCCCCAAACGCTGTAGTTTGTAAGTGATATGTGAGGAGGGGGGGGGGCTCTCTTGTCACGCCGATGTTTCCAGCAATGTGCAGATGCCCAGCGATACTTGCGACTTAACATCACGAGTAAACTTGAGGAAGGATGTTAAGAAATTCACATTTATGATCAAAGAAAAGTAAGAGGGTCACAGTAGGTGCATTTTTTGTGTGTCTCTGCACAACGGGGGGTAGAGGGTTTTCCTTTGTGTAAAGGTAGATATCTCAAAATAGTTTTTTTTATAGTTCAATAAAAAATAGTGCAGAATAAATTTCAGTGATTGCACCAAAAACGTATGATTGTGTCTGAATATACATTAATCATACAATATTCATACAATAAACACAACACAGCATAATAAACGTGAGCTTAGTTCAGATATGTTGTGGGTCGGAGTTGCCTCAAAGAATAAATGTATTTAAATGGGTTTAGAGTTTCTGTGTGTGTCACTGACCTTTTACCTCTGAGTTCACTAAATGCAGAGATAGGAGAGTTTGTCCTGCTCTACACTTTGTGATGCGCTGCTGACTTTACTACACGAGGGAATGAAATGATGGGAGAGCTATGAGCAGAAACATTTTCACTGATTATGGATACCTTTTTAGGTTAAGAGCTCGCCTCTTTGAATTCAAGCACTGCAGTGAAAGTTGCATCAAAAATGCAATGCGTCGTTTACTTTGAATGAACGAGCTCCAGGCTGTACACTTGCATGGCAACAGAGATGAAGGGTTCGCTGTTTCACCACTCGGGGAGAGAGGCTGCTTCACGCTCCCAAAAAATGATACCGCTATTCATGGTTATTAATGTAAGTGGACTCTTAAACTCGGTTGTGTTTCTCGTCACTAATGAGCATTACGCAATAAGGCTGCGCCTTCATTTAACACGGGTCCACATTTTTAATCATGGGATGTAGCTTCGAGACAAACATATGTGGCTCGGAGGAGTTCAAACAATGCCCTTCCTCCCTCAACACACAAGCTACATAACAACAAACAGTACAAAAGAATATGATGTATAAAGAAATCAATAGACTGTGAGTCAGCCGTGTGTCAAGACAAGGCTGTTTAAGTGACTCAGTCTTCAATGTGTTTGTCAACCCTGAGTGCATCTGCACTAACAAAAAGATATTTGACTGAGAGAGAGAGAGAAAGGGAGAAAGGATCCAGATGCTGAGCTCCACTTCCCTGGAGCTATGCATCTATTGTATCTGACTCGCACGCATGCAGGTGTGTTTGATTTTCACCATATTTTCCACCACTATCATTGGAAATAGCTTCAGCTACGGCGTTTGAAAGTCACAAAGCCCTTGTTATTCCCAGCAGCGAATGACACAGAGCAGATAGCTTAATTTCTCGGGATGATTAGAGCTGCAGAAAGAAAAATCGGCAGCGGAGATGTTATGTTAACATGGTCACATGTGCCGTACAACTCAATAGCACTCCAAGCTGCTACTCGACACCGTCTGTGATTGCCTTCGATACTTGGTATTCCAGGAAACACTGACTGCAAGACTCAGATTACTTTGACAAGAGAAGCAGACCACAGAACACCTGACAGGGGAGGGAAGGTGTATATGCACATTGTAGCACAGTGTGTATGCACTATGCGCAGACCCAGCCACCGGAATTTCGAATATGAGAATAATAGCTTGCTCTCCCCTCGATCGCTAATTAAAAACATGAATTCACTACCTACTTTCAGATCACCGTTTTCTCAGTTTTAGTACCCTAATTTGGAACGTGCAGAGACGGAGTGCCGGGAAATTCTGCTGTTGAACGAATACATACGCCCCAGAACTCTTTCACAAAACAAATTGCCATTACATGAGAGAGGGTGAATTCAATTTTCTTAAAAAAGGATTAACCAAACCATGGAAATGATTTTTCTTTTTTAGGACAGCATGCTGAACATGATGTCTCACCGTGCACAAAATATGCAGAGTTATGCAGGATGCATGACTGTTGTAGACGCCGCTTGTTAGGCGTCCGATGAGGGGGAGGGGGAACACTGAAGGGAACAGCAGTTATGTTCAATTCAGTAACACAAGCTGGCTAATTAGCATTGCCCTGCCGTTCCCTTTGAACCAGAGGAGGACAAGTGGGAGCAATGATATTTCTTTGTTGTCCGCACTGCATGAGCCCCCCCCCCCCCCCGACTGCCGAAACCACAGGGGTTGTGACCCCAGGGGGTTAGAGGGAGGTAACATAGACAAAAACATAGACTCCCCCTGTTCCTCCTTACTGAACTGCCCCAGGGGAATTACCCAGATCTTTTCCTTAAACTGTGCCCTCGGAAAAGTACAGCTACTGCCAGCAGGGCGCATCAAAAACTGTGCCTATGCGGGGTGCGATGCCTTTTTTAGGATGTCCAGGAGTCCAGGCAGATGTTAAGCTGGGTACAGGTACCGGCTGCAACTCAGATGCACACAATTATGCTCAGCTGACTGCTCTCTGAAGACCCAGCACAGATCATTAACTCTAACCTCTCATGTACAGGGTTTTTATTAATAGTTTCATTACATATTGTACGATTGAAAAACCTGAAACTGGGTTTATGTACTGCCGCAGAGTTCTGAAGCGTGTTTTATTGCCTGTTTCAGGTTGGGTAGAGATGCACTACGACTCCGGCTAGAACCTTTTTGTGCCACACATGGGTCAAATAATTCGAAATACTTGGCAAAGTTAGTCAAGTCACCAGGTGCTTTGCCACGTTTAGATACGGATTATTCATTAAACACTATTACTGTAGCCTCCTTATATTTTCTTATCAAAGGTTTTTAAATAATATTCTCTTACATCGAGAAAAACATTTCTACAATTGTCCACTTGTTAATGTACATTTTTGAGGGGTTCCAAGTAATATTTAATCATGAATTATACATGCTTCGGCTAAATTTAAGCAAAACAATCTCAAACGTAGGATTGCTTTAACCCAATAAATTCAAAAACAAAATCATGCTATTTGTAACTATTTATATTTCTGGATTACTCCTCAAAAGAGTAACTACTTTGGTTACTAGAAATAGACTGTTGGGGTTTCAGGGTGGAGGACTCAAAATGCAAAACCACTGTTTTAACCAAAATAACCTTTAATCAAACCAGAATTGTCAGGAAGCAAATAGGCACCGTCCAGATCACAGGGGTAAACTAAGATCAAGATACAAATATACCCACAGTTGGTCTTACGGAAAACAGAGCAAGCGTCACCTTCCCCCGCTGTCACCACTTGACAACTTCCTCCCATCACCAGTACCTAAACACCTGTCTGCTGCGAGCGCATCCACTGCCACTCTTTCTCTCAACCAGGCACCTGCTACGCCCACAGAGTGCCACTCTTATTGTATGTGCATCAAACTATATCACAGCCTTCGAGTTAAGGATTCAAACAACATTTTTAAACACTCATACAGGAAAATACATGTGTATGGCTTCAAAAAAATTGTATTTTATATTTTAGAGTTTGACGTAGTCCTCCTGTGAGGCTTTCTCAGTCAGGTATTGTGGGGTGAGTAACAACCAACAACCACGTATGTATTGAGGAAGTGGATCAGCTGATTGATTTCTGAGGCAAATACGTCACCCTTGGGAATAAAAACCTCTGACGTCATTGTGTTCACAAACCAAACTTTTAACGGTTCAGTTTCATCACTCTGAAACGTTCATGTGTTGTCAGGAAACAATTCCAGTGCAACAACCCTGTAATACCAAAACAATGTTCTGTTGGACCGTGTTATATGCACATTGTGCTAAGAATTGTACATATGTATGTACATATTATCTATTGTTGTCAAAATAAAGTTCGGAAGCTGTTTTCACTGTCTATGCATATAAAGTCACTACACATACGGTTATTCTTATTACACTAATTGTGACCAATGTTCTTGTCGATTTTGTTGTTTTTACATACATATATATATATATATATATATATATATATATATATATTCATCACACCTGCCCCCCTGTACACAATAGCTAAATGTTTGCATTTGCTTGAGTCTGGCTTCCAATATCTCTGAACATATACAGCCAGAGGTTATTTTGATTTTTAAAATTTACAGAAAAATGGGGGGTGAAAAGTATTTGAAAATTTGACCCAGTTCTGCCCTGCACCTGCAGTTTCTTTCCTCTAACAAATTCCCAACGGTGATCCACATAGTACTGCATCTTCAATCTGCTGATGCACCACTGCTAACACAACATTTTCAGCATAATTAGCGTTTTCCTAGCTCGGGGGGGCGGGGGGGCAGAGCTGTAGCCGCTCACAGTCAATATGCAGTGACTTGTAAAACACTACAAACCCACCAGATATCAAGCCCCCTTCTCCATCGCAGGTTTCACATCAGCATGCCGATCGGATGGTGCTCAGAGAGGCAGGTCACTGCTACCGCTGTCACAGGAAAACACCACCTGGAGGACAAGAAACACGTTTAGTCATTTCAATAGAACAGCTGAGGTGGCTGAGTTTACTGCACTGCAAAACCCTGCCACACGTGGAGCTCGTTTTGATCGTGTTTTAGGTTGTTTATCATTCTTAAGCCAGTATTCTGGTGAAAGAGTCAACATTCTTCAACACACAAGAGAGGCAATCATACATTCCTAATCTCATTGACTGGGCTTGCTCCTTTTTCCACTTGGCAGCTTTGGGTGCGATATGAGCGCTGATCTAATTATGAAACAACAGGAAAGAAGCATAAGCAGCAGGAGAGGCATCAGAAAAACAGACTTAGAGATAACGCGGCTATGAATGTGTGTCCTGTCATTAATATTTCACTGCGTCATTGTAGCAAAAGGAGAACAAAGTGTAAATGGGAGCATGATACAAAATTCATCATATTTTGACACAGCTTTGGAACGTATCTGTGCAAAACAAAGAACGGGCAAATCATCAGCTCGTGATGAGATTTTGTGTCTGGGGAAATAAGTTGATTAATGGATCGAAATAATTAATGCATGCTTTAACATGAGGTCGATGCCACACACATATCCGACGATGATGGATGAGAGGGTTTTGTAACTCACTTAAGAGGCTATTTCTACTGCCAAATGTTGCTTTCATTTTTTTTGCCTCTCCAGAGGGAGGTCAAGGTCACAGGCCTTGAGCTTCTCACTTGCCCCTGAAATTCAAAACAAGCTATACGACATGTCACAGCTCTGCCTGCAGTACAGCGACACGCAGCCCAAGAGAGATCACCATATTGCTTGCGTTTCTCTTCAGAGAGCCTTCATGCATTAAAAAAACAGAATTCTCCACTTAGCTTCTTCTTCCAACCCTTATAGTACATCAATTTGTATTCAGGGAGAGACTTTAGGCTTGTCACCTTCAGCTACTCATCCAGCCAATGAAGTATTTATGACGCAAGCTTTTGGGCTTTTGATACGTCACTGCAATCTTTTTCAATTCATCCCGGGCTGCAGTCAGTATACTCGCATGTCAAAGAGTTTAAAAAATGGAAGGAAATGAATGAAGTTAGTGTAGGTCATTGCCATGCATGATCCTACTTGTAAATATGGCGGAGCAGCGGCCACTCCGACAGTGTGACAGTGAGTGGTGTGACTACGATGTGACGCTGAGCAACCACTGGGAGGTGCACGACCTTTGTATCGAACAAGAGGCCCCTTCACCTGTCCACAACGCTCCAGCAACTGATTTTGTTCGGTTCCATCTTCGTTTCCACGCATTAAATCATCACCTGGCCCAGTGTGATAAGTCCGTTGTCAGCCGAGGACAAGTCGGTCTCACTTAATCTCCAACATGGAGACTTCACAGTATCAAACAGTCCACTTCCCCGCTCCATTTTCCCCCAGCAGCAACACGATTTTACCTCTCTATTTCTGGTTCTGTTTCTCTCCAGGCCCTTATATGAAGTGAAAAGCCAGAATAAAATTCCTCAGTGCCAGGCAACTTTGGCCAAAGGACACACTCCGTCAAGTCATTATCCATCACAGTGATTCCTTCCTATCTACGCGAGACAAAGACAGTCATCCTCCTGCCCTGCCAGCTTTGCTACTTGAAATACTCCGTCCTGACAACAGGGGTGGCTGAGACATCCTATTTCACTTCTTTGGTTGTATCCTGTCTGTCGATTCAAAACACAGAACCGACTTCACATGTGAGGCACGACAAACAAACAACGGAGGGGCCAGTCAGGTTATTATGTTCTTATGATTGATGAGAAACGTTCTCTTTCAAAAGAAAACAGCATTAACCTTGAGATATACAGTAGGTTTTGAAATCAACATACGTACGTGTAAAAAATGAGCAACATTAGAATTGTCACAGTTGACTTCAAGTGTAAATATTCATCAATGCGCAGTGAATGCATTATTTCTCTACAGGACCGATCAAAGGTTTGGACACACTTTCTCATTGAAGTGAATAAGAAAATGTGTCTAAACCGTTGACTGGTGCTGCATATATAACTGTACATGAGTTGAGTGTAAAGCAGATTGTGAGTACTCTTTTACATCATGATTTGCTTGGCTATTTCCTTAAAATACTCTTTGCTGCAGCAAGTATCAGCAAATCAGACAACGTTGATTTATTTAAAGATTGGAATGAAATAAAATTGCCATTTACAAGCAGTTGTCTAAGTACAAACGATTACAAATGACAGATTGAGAGACAATGTCAGAATTGTCTTTCTTACTGGCTTAAAGTGAGGGGTTATCTTATTTCCCTGCTCAGTAAAAGAAAGCTCTGTAAAAACCTTCAGGCATTTCAGCACAGATCAGATTCGGCTGACCATCTAGGGGACAAAAACAGCTGGAGCTGTAGCTTCAATCAATTATAGATTTGATTGAATGCATTCATACTGAAGACAGTCGCCTTTTTGTGCTCAGTTCCCCAGACATCGACAGAAGTGATGGCATTTCCTGACCCACATCATTCAATAGACCACGCCAGTATGGGAAATGAATTCCCCCATAGCCACGTGAGGAGGTTTGTGTGTCTTCATTTTTGTGTGCACGGACTATCTATTTTCTAACGGCCTGACCCGAGTTACGGTTTTGGTTGGAATATAATATTTCAGAAACTACCTCCTGTTCCCTGCTGCCGGTATCAAAGTAAAGCAGCTGGTCTTTAACACGCTTATTGAATGACATCCTCAATGTCAACATGACTCAGCAGCGGACCGACGGAGCCACGCGTTCAGCAAACGTCGCTTCTGTTCGGCGGTGTGGCCGTGATAGATGACGCGACTGTGAGGTCACGCTGATCCTCAGCTGATCCTCCAAACTAAACGCTGTCGGACCCTTTCTCTTTCTCTTCCTCCTGCCGTTACACTGATTTACTTTGAATAACCACCTGATTCACACACAGGATCACGTGACAAGGTTTCGATCATGCTGCTGTATGTGTTTACAGGTTTTCTGCAGCTGTTTCCCCACAAAGCCTACTTACATGAACCTGATATGGGTGCAGAGTAAGTAATGCCCCCGAAACTGAACATCTTCAAAACACCTCACCAAGTGTAGCCGTAATGTGTTTAAAAGAAATTTAATGTTATATCTGGGTGACACCGAGGACACAACCCCAAAAATTAGGAGATTATAAAGGATGAGCAGCTGTTTTTTGTCGAATTCCAGCTAATCTACATTTCTTCAGACTGTAATGAGCGCTGTTGAAGCACTGGCCTTCATTTCAAAGGGGGATGCAAACAGTTTCAATGAAAATTGCTTGTTGAAGCAGTTTTATTTTTATTAGCTCTCCAAACATTTGGCCTTAGAGGTCAAGCAAAGATGAATGGTGTGTGTCTGTGTGTGTGTTTTTTGGGTGCTCCCAATCCCCAACCAATCAATACTCATAAATCAGGCGCCGCTAAAGGGCGAGTTTACTAAGAGAAGGCCAAAGCCAATAAGAGATGATTTGAGCTTGTTGTGTTACGGTTAGTCTCTGCCAGACAAGGGATGTGGATCACATGTTGAGCTTTGGCCGAAGCAGAACAAGCTTTTAATACAGACGTCATCCGATCAGATCAACAAGGGGTGAGTTACAGGTCTGGACGAGGAATGTGATTTAGCTCACGTCACTGTCGGATCCTTGAATCTATATATGGAGGTGGTCTCTTTGCTCTCCGTTTGAAACATTGCAAAGCGGCAGAAAAGCCCCAGCGCGACTTGGCCTGTGACAAACAACTATTGTTATGATCAAATAATCTACCAAAAAAAAACACCAACGCGGTGGCGGCAAATAAACATCCTCGAGTCTATGGCTGACGAGGAAATAATGAAAGAGCTTTGTCGTCTAAGATAAAAGCTACAGCCACATGAAATATAAAATAGGGATATTTAGGTCAGTGAAGTATTCTCTTAATTGTGTTGTTGGTTAGCAAAATCTGCTCTCTGAAATATCTGCGATTATTTTGGCTCTAGTTTCATCGAAATTCTTGGGAAAAAAGGCCGGTCATATTTTAGGAATAAGATCAGTCAAAAACCATGTAGTAGGTCACAGCTTATTAAATATCAAACATCCAATTATCAAAGCAATTGGCAAGTAATGAATCATTTAATCTAACATTGCAGCCCATATAAATAATAAACAAAATGTGTTGCTGACATTTTTATATTACAAAATAAAAAGCATCATCGAGTATAAAGTGCAGTAGTAGTCACTTTTTGAATAAAACATATGATTAATTCTTTACAAAACGACTCTCTCGGACCCTACTGTCAGCTATCGGGTTGCATTGTGGGTAATGTAGGCGCCAGGTTTTGACCAGGAAGAAGAACATGTCGAGTACTGGTTCTGCTGCAACGATTTTAAAAATAAATATTGAATGCGTTCAACAATGTTATAGGGACGCAATGCAAGATGGTGCTAAAGTACTAAAGCACATGACAAAAGATTTATCTTCATGACAACCTAGCAAACCTGAAAAAGCGAATAAGTGCAACTTGAGTTGTGATTGTTTGATTTTACATGACACTATGCGGTAGCAGGGGAGGCTTTCATATCCTCCTTGTCGTTGGGTTGAAGATAAATCACTTTCTCAGTGTTATTCAAGTGTAATTGAGTGATCAAGCTATATTCTAACACATAAGAAATTGATCGCAAAGATTAGATTTCACATTTCCCCAATTCCCAAAGGACACTTTTGCAATTTGGTCAGCGTAATCTCACTGTGTACGGGTTTTGGGGCCATTGCTAGACCACATGGGGTAGTTAATCTTTGAGAATGAATCATGTCGATGTCACGTCAACGGGACAACATTTTATAAGGAGTTAGGTAGCTGAGTCTCTATGTGACTGTGAGTGCACATACTGGAATGCATCTTAAGCTATATAAGTGGTGTGAAAGATTCATACCGTTGTTTCTATAATCTAAATCAACAATGCATCTGAAGAGTATTTTTGCCGTGCTATATTCTGGCTTAATTGGTTGAATGTTCATATTTAACTTCCTTAA